CCACAAATTGTTTAGACACAATTTCGCTTGTGTCCGTTTACCCTTATTGACCACCATCTTCTCCCTCTCGATGTTAATCCCAAACATTTCCAGGCACTCTTTCATAAACTTATCTTCCTTCTTCTTGTCACCCTTGATGGTGTTGTCAAAACCAGAAGAGTGAATTTTCTGGGCCATAAATTCATTGATGTATGGGTTAAAGAGCTTGTCGTCGTAGTTTTTGAACTCCAGAACCCTGAAGAGTTTGGTCACCACATACCCCTCCTTGAGGGCTTCGTTTATCTCAATAGACGTACATGTGCTGACCCATCCTCGCTGCTGATCTGAATGCGGACAACAGTAGTTTTCGTTGACATCACCTTTAGGGTACTCTTTTGCACAAGTAGAACTGTTATGTACGTGACTTGTATGTCTACGTACTAACAAGAATAACAAGATAAAACAGTAACTAACGACTGTGTTTTATCTACAAGACTAATTACAATAATAGTGAAGGTGGCAAAAGGCAAGAATGAATGTATAAATTTCATCCATTCCAGTGAATATATAGGCTAAGCAAAGAATTTGCAAGGATAAGGATAATCTCAGAAAAATTAAAAACAATTAAGGTAATCCGCGACAACTCTAAGGAAATTTAAAGAAATTTTCAATAAGCTTAAAATTAAATTTATTCAAATAAACAAGCATTACCCGTACAAAAAATTATTTTGAAAAATATCTTATGAGGAGTAAACAAACTATGCTTTAAGTACGATACCTACCACAATGACAAATAGATTTGCTTGTCAATCTTGTTCAGTTAAAATTGTTCATCACACCTTGTTTCTTTAAGTTATTACCGAGACAGTTCCTCTAATTAATAACAGGCTGACTGAATACACTTTATGATACTCCAATTGATTATTCAGACCGAATGCCCAAGCGGCTTTAAATTATTACCTGAGTCTTATCTATGCGACGACCCACACTATTCCTTGTGAGTAGCCAGCCTGCCACTATGATTATGTTTCATAATATTTCGAAAAAAATATTCAATTATGAAAAAACGAGGAAAATGTTCAACACATTCTTAAATTGTTTTAAACATTTTCCTCGTTTTTTCATAATTGAATATTTTTTTCGAAATATTATGAAACATAATCATAGTGGCAGGCTGGCTACTCACAAGGAATAGTGTGGGTCGTCGCATAGATAAGACTCAGGTAATAATTTAAAGCCGCTTGGGCATTCGGTCTGAATAATCAATTGGAGTATCATAAAGTGTATTCAGTCAGCCTGTTATTAATTAGAGGAACTGTCTCGGTAATAACTTAAAGAAACAAGGTGTGATGAACAATTTTAACTGAACAAGATTGACAAGCAAATCTATTTGTCATTGTGGTAGGTATCGTACTTAAAGCATAGTTTGTTTACTCCTCATAAGATATTTTTCAAAATAATTTTTTGTACGGGTAATGCTTGTTTATTTGAATAAATTTAATTTTAAGCTTATTGAAAATTTCTTTAAATTTCCTTAGAGTTGTCGCGGATTACCTTAATTGTTTTTAATTTTTCTGAGATTATCCTTATCCTTGCAAATTCTTTGCTTAGCCTATATATTCACTGGAATGGATGAAATTTATACAACACAATGATTATTCGCACAGTCTGAAATATCACGCATCGTAGCAGCACTGTAATATTTTAGTCGAACTGCCCGAATAGCCAGTTAGAGAAAAATTGGTCAGTTAGAGAAAACTACTGAAGTTACAGAAAACTACTGAAAATTATGAAAATTAACAAATTTCATCTTATTTTTTAACTAGATAATTTTACCTTAAAAACTATGCCTTCCTTCTAATAATTTTTTAATATTTGTGAATTGTACCTTTGAATTACTAATCCTGTATGTTTACCTCTAATTTTTGAAACTCATATTTACGAATTTTTTCAAATTGTACTTAAATTTTCATCACATGTCTAAAAGCCTAGAAGAAGAAAATAAGAAAAGTGAACTATTTGAAAAAGAATTTTGATTCAGTCAATTTTTGGTTCAGCCATTTCTTATTCAAAGAGAATAATGCAACATTGGTTCGTGCACACACCACAAAGTACGTTTGTATAACAAATTCCTTTTTAACTAGTTTATCTAAGGTCTGATGGTACTACTTCACATCTCTGGTACTACTTTACACCTCGTGCAACATCTGTGTGAAGAAAGTTTCGTTATAACAAAAATTTTTAAGTAAAATATATTCATTCTCACTAAGTTGTATTTTTAGAATGAGCTTAGCTAAACTAATTGAAGATCAGAAAATTATTAAGATACATGAACACTTTAAAACTACTACAAAATTCCATCTAACTAAAGGAATATTTGAGTATGTGATAATTAGTGACTTTTCTGACATCAAAAACATCATGAGAATAATTATCCATAATTGTATAGAAAAAAACAATTGAAGAAGGCATTAAAAACAAAATTGAGCCTGATACTTTAGGTTGTATTGTGAGTTGTGATCTATTTTATGATGATGTATGTAGTCCAATATGTGAAATGTCTAATAATAATACTTTGGACGACATTCTAGATGGAATTATAGGAAAAGCATATTTACTGAGGGGTGAACCTTTTACTGTGACAGTCACTGGAGTAAATGTGAAGGGTCTTCCTAAAAGAACATCTTTTAACAATGTGTAATAATATCTAACAAATATTAAAATTCTCGTGTTTCAATTTATCTGTAAGACATTAGTCAGGCTCTTAGAAGGAATTAGTAATAGTATTGTTGCTAGGCTTCAATAATAATCGAAAAGAAATATTTTCTATGTTATTAAGTCTATCACAATAAGTAATAACTTCTTGTCAACAACATCCTTAACACACCCACAAGCCACTCAGGCGCACCACGCTCTCTACACATGCACGCCCTCGCACGTGCATACGAAGAATTTAAGAAAATTGACAAAATTTCATCTTTTTGGGAGATTTTTTGTCCAGATGAATGGTAAATTTACGCGCACCCTCAACACCCGCGCCAAAAACACACGCACATCCTTTTCATACGCGTGTACACTGAAAAATAAGGAAATTGACAAATTTTATCTTCTTTTCCTTAATTTTGTAAGTTTACCCCTAAAAAGTGCAACTCCTTTACACTAAATCTGAAATCATCTACTTTGTCTCGCTAATTATGTAAAATTACCCCTAAAAACTATGTCTTCTTTTTATTAATTTTTTAATATTTTTAAATTGTAGCTTTGATTTACTAACTATGTAATTTTACCGCTAAAACTTGTGACTCCTATTGAATAATTTTTAAAAAATTGTATTTTAAAATTTTATCACGAATAAAATTGATACAATAAATTGTGTAAAAACAAATTAAAATTTAGTTAGAAAAAATAGTGAAATCAAAATATTGTAATAGGAGTGTGGCTTCGCCACTTGACAGGCATGCCCAAGCTCAAACAGGGAAGTGAGAATTTATACTCAAGTCCGCAACCACCGATTTTCAATGTGAAGATTACCTCACAACATTCGATAGTTGGTATAGAGTTTGGGTGCCCGTACCTCTGGCTACTTTCCGACCCCTATAATTACAATAAAATTCTAGGATGGCGATTATTAATATAACCAAAATTTAGTACAACAAAATCGGAAGGGCGGACAATGCCCTTACCGACATAAGGTTTATAATTTTTAGTAAGGGGTTGAGTGATAATTGATCCATCTTTAATAGATGGTTTAAGAAAATTTGGGTATTTAATTAAAATTGGAATATTATCAATTTTTGTAAAATCAAAAACTTGCTTCTTGAAATTTTCGTAGCAGAGACCTTGATTGTTGATGACATCCCAGTTGAGTGTCATTCCGCGGACTTTGAGAACATAGTCCGGCTCAGCATTGGGAGTAGACTTCTTTTGAAGTTTCAAACCATACTGCTTTGCTCCTCCAGAGCAGTACTCCAAAATATCAAAGTCTGGGTACTCATCAGTAAACTGACCCAGATGAGGCCCTAATTCAAGTGGGCAATTGTTGTCTGGGTGGATGAAGATTAAAGAATCGGTGTCGGTGTATAGTAACTCACACCCCGGAGTCCTTACAACTTTCTGCATTGCGTGTAGAAGGTGAATTCTCGCTGCTGATGTGGTCCAGAGCGAGATTATGACGTTTGATGAGTCATGCTCCTCCACCCAATCTTTTTTCTTAATGTAGTCGATAAGCACAGTCCCATCTTCAGTCAATTCATGACAATGATTAACTGTTATTGCTGGGTCGTCGCACATTTTTACGTATTCACTTGGGTCGTCAGTAATTTTGCATTGGGAGAGTCCAAAGTTACGAAGTGAAAATCGACCCCACAAATTGTTTAGACACAATTTCGCTTGTGTCCGTTTACCCTTATTGACCACCATCTTCTCCCTCTCGATGTTAATCCCAAACATTTCCAGGCACTCTTTCATAAACTTATCTTCCTTCTTCTTGTCACCCTTGATGGTGTTGTCAAAACCAGAAGAGTGAATTTTCTGGGCCATAAATTCATTGATGTATGGGTTAAAGAGCTTGTCGTCGTAGTTTTTGAACTCCAGAACCCTGAAGAGTTTGGTCACCACATACCCCTCCTTGAGGGCTTCGTTTATCTCAATAGACGTACATGTGCTGACCCATCCTCGCTGTTGATCTGAATGCGGACAACAGTAGTTTTCGTTGACATCACCTTTAGGGTACTCTTTTGCACAAGTAGAACACAGGGGAAATAGTAATCGTTCATCGTCGTCTTCCCCAATTTTCATTGGTAAAACAGGAACGTCAATACTTCTCGGTGGTATGACGAATAATTTTAAAAGAGCAGTGTTGTAAGTGTTGTCTTCAGGTTTGGTCCAATTGACATCCATATTGATAACGTGGACTTCTGGATGCCCAACAGGATATCGAGTTGAGACGTTGATAAATGGGTAAAGGGAGGTGACATCGTAGTAAGAAATTTTTTGTCCATCCTCAGCCTTGTGGAATAACTTCAAGGGACCAGTTCTTCCCCCATAGAAGGCCTCTCTAATATTTATTGGTCCATCATCCAGATATTTTTTAAACATCTTCCTCATTTCATAATCTTTTGCTACCATATCAATGATTTGACACTCCCAATATACTGCCACTTTGACCCCCAAATTCCTAATAAATTTTAGACGTTTTTGGTCCTTCTCCCGCTGTTTTCCAGCTGTAAGACCTGTTGGAAGCTTAAGATCGTCGTCAGGATAGCATTTGATACAACCATGCCAGCAGCAACCATTGACTTCAATAGCCAATTTCTTTTCCTCAACCCATCCATCCAATTTATAATTTCCAATTTTCTTCTCCCCATTCTTTGAGTGTGCTGTCCTAATTGTAACGTTATTCTTCTCGCCATACCATTTCAGAAACTTGAGAGCAATTTTACTTTGGTTGTCGACGTTGTCGTAACCTTTTTCAGGAACAATTCCTAAATGGTTGGCTTTGAGGTGATTCATGCGGAAGTGCTTCATGCAGGCAGAAGCAATTGTCATAGCTTCACGAAGAACATCCAAGCCATTGGAGACTTCCAAAAATTCCGTTCTGAAGGCAATGAGCGCAGCCATGAGGATCTCCACATCGTTGATACAATATGCTGCTAGTTGTTCATTTAAGTTGAAGGGCTCATTTTTATGTTGGTCAAACCATTTATCGAACTGAGCCCTCTTTTCAGGCATCATCCCATTAGCAAGGTAATCTTCTTTTGTCGGAAAGATTTCTTTCCCATAATTCTTTGGGTTGTTGGCCAGGTGAGGGAAGAAAGGTTTGTCTTCCATTTTAAGAGCAAAGGCTGGTACTAGCGAAGCCAACGGCATTGGCATTAGATTGTATGTGTCTCTGAAGATGACCCAGCATTTTTTATTGTTCTTCACCTTCATCTCATACATTTTGTTACCTTTCTTTATCATTTCTGGGATTAGGCCTTTGAGATACAATGTCTTGAAGACTAGGACCATATCAAACCTTCCTCCAAAATGAGAGAAGGCTATTGTATCAGTAGAAAAATTAGTGATCCAGGTTACAAAATCAGTCAGAGGATCATTAGTAACATTTTGTTGATCGACTTGAGTGTTGGAAAATGGTTGGTGGGAGAAGGTTATAGTTCGATCCTCCCCACAAATTTTACAGTTGTTATTCAATCCGTTACTAATACACTCGGGGCAGTTGATTTTTGCAGATATAAAATTCACTTCATGTAATTTCCCTTTTTCGTCTTGCCTGTGTTGCATGGTTTCAAAGTCAAAAGCGATAATCCGGTACGGTTTTGGCTTTTTTTGAGTTAGAGATTTGATGAAGCATCCTCTTTTAGGGTCATGGAAGCTAAAGCAGGTGGTGCAGTAACGTTCTGAACAAACATGACCAGTACGTCCATTCCGGTTGTTCACAGCAACATTCCATATAACTCCACATTTCTCACATTTCTTAGAGTTGTGGCAAAATTTAGATTTGAGATGATGGTCATAGCAGTTATTGTTGTAAAATTCTTTATCACAACCAGAACAATGTTTGAAGTAGTTATCTAAAGGCTGGCATGGGTAATTGGGTCCGATCCTGGAGCAATTTTGACATTTTGATGTGCAGGTGATAGAATGATCTTTTGGGCGGTGGTATACCTTTTCACAGGCAAGGCAATAAGGCTTTCCAAATAAATCACCTGCCTTTCTAACTCCATCAAAATGATTATTGTTGTAATAAAGAAGAATTGGAGTAGTGTGATTTTCATCCCCATATTTAAAGATAGGTTTTTCATCTAATTCTCCAAAAATAAAAACTTTAAACAGGCCATCATTCCTTGAATTCCAATAATCAACCACCTTGGGTACCCATTCATTTGCAGCATAAGTAGGTTGACCAGGAGGAGCTCCTACATTTTCCATCAAGAATGTTGTATCATGTTCCAAACGTTTCTTCATTCCTAATCTGCTATGCATATAGTCATAGAACTTCCATTTCGGCCATGAGCATGTTGAAAATATAAAGGTGGCAGACAATGATCGAAATAAACAATAGTTGTCAGAATTAATAATTTTAATAAGGTTGTGTTGTTTAATTTTATGTTGATTTGTTGAGGAATCTTTACCGCTTCCTTGAATAGTACGTGTTGTAGGCAGATGTTTTTTGTCAATAGCTGTAACAGAAACGGTAAATGGTTCACCCCATAACATTCCCTGATCCTGTTTTTTAGATTGGGCCACTTTTAGAAATTGATTAAGAATTGAATCCACCGTGTTGGGAGAAATTTCACGTATTGGAATCCAAATATCTGATTCTAACAATTGACTGCTCACTGTACAGCCAAGTTGATCTGGATCAAGCTGATGACCATGACTCGTCTCCAATGTTTTGTCGATGCATTCTTGGAAAATTCCTTTTAATAAACCCTCAGGATCGGGTGGGATATTCGTAATTAAGAATTTAGTAGAAAGTTTGGTAAGGTTAAATTTCCGGGTGATTTTAGTTTCTTCACCCAAATGTTTTACATAATCACCATCACCTTTCTGTAATAGATTATCAATGAAGAAATGTCGTGCTTTCTTCGAAGGTGGAGGAGACATTAATAATAAAATAAATTCAAAATTAGAGACTAATTCAAAAGTATTAAATTTCTTAGAATTTTAAAGAATGAAGAAAGAAATGTGAAATCCTTTTTTAAGAAAATATTCCATAAAATAATTGATGTGTTGTAAAATAGGAATTTCACTGAAATTCCATTTCATTATTTTCAGTCGCGGGAAAAAGCCTAAAAGAAATTTTGCATAAAAAAGCAAAAGAATTTAAAGAGAATAAAGAAAGAGCGAGCAAGTTTCGTAATAATGTTTAGTTTCGTAATAATACATACCTTTGTTTTTATTCCTTAGGATGTTGTCAAAAGAAGAGAAATCCCTATATAAAATAATCTTTTTCTTTTATTTCCAGTCAAGAAGAGGAATTTTAAAAATATATTTAACATAATTTAACTAAATAGGAAATGTTTTAAATTTTAAATAATATTTCGAGAAAGAAAATTAGCATAATAAGAAAAATTAAAAAAAAAAAGAAAAAATTTTAGGTATATAATTAGCAAGTTGTGAACGATGCGACGATGTTGTTTGTAGAATTTATTTTTTAAACTCTTAATTTTTTAAATTATTAGTGGGTAATTAATAGAGAGGGGTAATTATAAAACTTTATTTATTTTCATTTATTTATTTTTCCTATTACAGAAATATTTTGTTTTTATAATTATAGTCTATTTTCACTTTTCTACGCCTACTTTTTAATAATTTTTTTGATCAATTTTTGCATGAGCTATTTTTTACCTAATTATACTTTTTAAAGTTATTTCTATCTCCAACGTCTACTTTTTAAAAATTTACCCATTTTTAACTTTTCAACAATAATTTACAAATTTTTACAGTTTTTTCTCTTGCATGACCTATTTCTAACCAATTTTCACTTTTCAACAATAATTTTGCAACATAATTATTGCATGACTGATTTTTACTATTTCTATTTCAACCGCCTACTTTTTAATAATTATTGTATTTTTTTAAGTATAAAGGGTAAAAATAATAAAATAAGATTGTAAGAAAAGAAACTTAAAAAAAAAGTTTAAGAAACAGTTTTAAAAAGAAAAAATATGGGAAATCTTGATTGAATCGTTTGAAAACTACTTATTGAACCCTAGAAACTTTGGGAAAATTTTTAGAATAAAATTTGGTGAAAAATGTGGGGAATGGTATGGTAAGGTGTTTTTTTTAAAGTTCGCACCAAACCGGTTTGATCAAATTATCCCTTAAAGGGAAATCCTTAAACCTTTGGACTCTGACGACGGAATGGTTGAATGGTCGTTTAAAAATGTGGGAGGGGCTAAATGGTTGGACCCCTCTGCCCCCAACGACATATACGCCGGACTAACTACTATCCGCAATTTTTAAATAATTTGTAGTCTGGGAAAATAAGTGGATTTAAAGTATTTGGGAAGCCTCCATGTGATATCAGTAATTTGGAGGGATATAGAAGATTATGATTTTGAAGGGATTCATAGTAAATCCAATATCTTCAAATCCGACTTTTCACTTATATCCACTGATGGTGATTAATAGGGATATCGAGAGAATCTGAGTTAATCCTCCGATATCAATAAAAATCCCTTTTCTTCTTTTCAAGCGCCGCAGGCAAAAATTTTGAGAATCTTGAAAAGCCAACAAGCCAGATTTCTTCCTTTTTTACCGCCGGAGGCGAAAATTTCGAGAATTTTGGAAGGTAGGCTACCAGATTTCTTCTTTTTTTACCTCGGAGCCGAAAATTTTGAGAATTTTGTGGACAAGGAGCTTGACTTTTTCTTTTTCTGCGCCGCAGGCGAAAATTTTGAGAATTTCGAAAGGCCAAGAGGCCAGATTTCTTCCTTTTTCACCGCCGGAGGCGACTCTCCGGGCCCGGCAAAAAATTACCGGGCCCGGGACCCGGTTTTTTCACTCAAAATCAGTAGTAACCCCCACCCTTTTGTCCCAGTTGTGAGGTGGAAATTTTATGGGTGTATTTCTCCCCACAACCATCTGTCCCATTTGAGAAGTAAATTTCCAACGTGTCCCGATTATAAGGTGCAAAATTTTATTGGTTGCATTTCCCCTACACTCAACTACCCCAATCTAGTAGTAATCCCCCTTTTGTATTGAGGGATGTGTCGGCAAATCAAAGACCACCCTTTTGTCTCACCCTTTTGGCTCATTTAATTTTCCCGCACCACCCTTTTGTCCTAGTTGTGAAGTGGGACAATTTGTACGTGTATTTACCTTACCACCACCATGCCCCAATTGAGAAGTAAATTTTCAACTTGTCTCAGTTGATAATTTTATTTTGTGAATTGTCCGACACCCAACTGTCCCAGTTGAGAATTAAGTTTCCAAGATGTCCCACAACATAACCCACTTGTGATGTAAAATATTTTATGGGTGTATTTCTCCTACACTCACCTACCCCAATCTAGTAGTAAGCCCCTCCCAAACGTTACAAACGTTACACCCATTTGATCACCTGTCAATCAAACCTGAGGCTATAGGGGGTATTTTCTTTTGATCTTTGCCGCAAACCCTTTCCTTTTGGAAGGGTTTGAGGGTAATTAATCATGATTAATTAGGGTAATTAATCATTGATGATTAATTGCTTTTTTGGTTACATTTTGTGGGAAGTGACAGGTTTGATGTTTGTGGTGTCTGGGTGGTCGGTTGCAACATTTGGAGGGTAAAATAAAAATTTTTAAATTATTTTTTGAAAGTGCGGTAAAATAAAAGAGTTGTCAAAAGGTTTTGGATGGGTGAAAATGCGGTAAAATAAAAGAGAGGTAAAAAGAAATGAATTTTTGGGTTTTCAATTATCTGTGTGGGTTGATTTAAGGGAAATATTTAATTGAAATGTTTCGAATGATTGAGAGGTGATTAGGTACATTAATAAGTATAAAGGGCGCGATTGATAAGTGATAGGGGTGGGAATTGATAATTAAAATATGAAAAAGTTTAAAAGGGTAATATTTTTGTTTATTAATAAAAACTTTTATAAAATTAAAAATAAAATCCCCAAGCGGAATCGAACCTTCACCATTGTGGTTTTTTCGTATGCGGGAACTTTATCCATTCGGTCAAAGGGGTGTACTTAAGTTTAATCAAATAATTTGATTTTTTATTTATATTAATATCTCTGTGTATTTTGGGGGAGGGGTGGAGGATTTAAAATTTCAAAATTTCGAAATTTCGCAATTAAAATTTTAAAAAATTAAAATAAATTTAAATATATAAATAATTAAATAAAAATGATAATAAAAAATTTTTTGCAAAATTTTTACAAAAAAAATAAAATGATTTTAAAAAAGGGCGGAAGTTCAAATGTAAGGGGATTTATTCAAAATGCCAAATTTCAAAATTTGGCGGGAATTTAAAGTTTAAAAATTTGGTGGGAATTTCAAAATTGAAAAATTTAAAAAAAT